TCTCACTGGGAGCTAAGTTTGTGTCTGCCATCTTGCTTTTGCGTCTCTCTGTTCAGGTCTCTGTGCTCAGTTTCTCACAATAATTGTACTTCCCTGTCCTCACATGAGGGTTGTGAGGAAACATACACCAATGATTGTGAAGCACTTAAGAGATGGTAAGTAGTAAGAGCAACATTATAAGATGCAGGGGAAGACAATGCCTTCCCAAACAGCCAACCTCCACCCCAAGCTTGTGCTCCTCTTCAGAGTATCTCCATATCAGTCTCCCAGGACTGTCTGGGCTTCAGCTCCACCGTGACTTATGGATGGGAAAGCTGGGATTGGAGGGGGCTGCCCATCACATGCCCTCCAGGATTGGGGCCTGCCCTTCTCATGTTCCGGGGAAGGCTGTGGACATGCCCTGCCTGCTCTCCCCATGATCCTGCTGACACCAGGGAAGGCTGGGGCTTCCCACTCTCTCTCTCCCTCCCCATGTGCTGCAACTGGGGCCAGGGAATGCTGGAGCCATACACTGGCCCCCTTCCCATGCTTCTGATGAATCTTCTGGCCCATGCCATCTACAAGGAGAAGGTAGCCTGTCCATACAGTGGGGGTGCACTTGGCTCCCATGGAGTCCTGGTTGGAAGGAGTGGGATCTCAGGTTGAAAGAGTGGGAGCTTGCCTCTCTCAGCCCTGGGATCAGGCACTACCCCTGGGTGATGGTGTGGGCACTGATAAATGTAGATATGGTTACAAGCAGGAGGTCAAATCCTGATTACCCTAAGTCCTTACTCAGCTCTTACTCAAGCAAATCCTCATTGAAATGTGCATAACAGCTGAGTAGAAACTGACTGAAGACAGACATTTGGTCAGTATGTTGGTTGATCTACATTTGGTATGTGCAGAACACAGCAGAAAGCTAACCAGCTAGCTCTTTATGTAACCTCTGTGTCTTCAAAGTGTCCTTCCATTCAGAGGCAGAGTGTCTTGTATGAGGCATCTGTCAGTGCTGTTGTTGAGAAAGGTAACATTTAAGAATATTAGGAACTGCAACAAGGCTTTAATTTAAATAATAATTTTCACATAAATCAATAAGTGTTTGAAAGTTAATACTGCCTGGAGGGAACCACATGCAAGCTGAGACTAGTGCAGTCTATATGACAGGGTATTTGGAGCGGGATAATAGGTGAAGAAACAGGAAAATGAAGAGAGATTTGGCACATTGATCAGGTTATTTCTGTCTGGCTGTGTCAGCACTGAGTGTCTGGTGCCAGAATTGGATGCGTGACTTTTGTCAGTTTAACTTAGACTGCTGTCCATGGCCCTCGTAATTTGTATGCTTCCATATGGAGTCCTGCAGTCAATCTCCTTCTGCCACTCCAACACATAAGGAATCCTTTAAAAACTGGCTTTCCTAAAGTTTAAGGAGGAAAAACAATGTTCCAAGCCCTTAAAGGTGTATTGGGAGGGGAAAAAAGAGCAACGAATGCTAGTAATCCTTGTATTGCCTGTATCTCCAAACACACAGAAAATACAGAAAGTATAAACTAATCGTTGAATAATGTGAGAGTTTTATTCCTGATATTGAAATAAATAAATGAAATGAGCTCTCGATGATTATCTCAATGAGATAATCTGTCAAGCCTGTATGTCTGATTTCTTGCCCCACTGATAATGCTTGTTCAATTCCATTTTATTTTAGTGATGTCAGGAGCAATTCAAAGCCCACTGAAGTCAATGGAAAGGATCTCACCGACCTCAATAGGCTTTGGATTAGACCCATCATGCTTATATAAGCTACTGAAATGACAGCTCAGAGGACTGAACGTCTCTCTCTCTCTCGACTCAGGGCTGTTATATGGATAGTACAAGCTCTTGCACATATTACAAGATCCCTGGAGTGAATTCCAGGTCATGAATGCATCCAATCAAAGGAGAGTATATAAAAGGGTTAAAATGCAGTGGACCTGCTGGAGAACCATAGCCATACTTTTTGACTTAACAATACTGAATTGTTAAGAAATATTGTTGGATTGTTTCCACATTACTGTAAACTGATGATCACATTCAAAATGACATTTCAGACTGCAAGGAATTATGGCCACCCATGAAATAGGCAAAGCAAAACATTTGGGGCACTTCTCTTTATCCTCATTTCCAGAATGATTTCCTTTGTGACAACTTCAGATGTCACTGTCTAAACTCAAGAATGCTTTAGAGAGGAAGGATGATCTTGTGGCTTTGGCAAGTGACTGGAATTTAGGAGGACTGGGTTCAGTTCCCGTTTCTTCTGCTGTTTTTCTTGTGTGGTTAAAGAAGCCACTTTGACCCTGCTCCAACTCTTACTGAAATGGATGACAAAAACTGATTTACCATGAGGCAGACTCAAGCCCTAAATCTCTCAGCCTCAGTTCCTCTATTGGTAATTGGGATAACAATGCTTGCTTTGATAGATAGTCTATTTAGATAGTAAGCTCTGTTGTCTCCTACATTACTCCTGAGGGAATTTTGCACCAAAAATTAAAAACTCTGCACTCAAATAGAATGTGCAGAATTTTAAAATTATTGTCAATAAATGCGGAGGCACCAGTATGGCAGTGGGGAGCACAGGCTGCTAGCAGCACAGACATGGGAGATGACTCTGAAACCCCCCTACGGCCACCCTCCCCCTAGCCTGACACATTGCAAGGACTGGGCCTGCTCCAGAAACACCCCAGTGCCCTGCCCCTCCCTGCCAGGCATACCCGGTGTGGGTAGGCAGGCTCAGCTTGGCAGGATTCAAGTGTGGGGGGATTCAGGTTTGAGGCAAGGGCATTCTCTGTGAAGCAGTCTGGGTGGCTCACTGGGAAAGCCTGGAGGTGGATCCCGATGCATATGGGCTTGTGTGTGTGTGTAGGTTCTAAGTACAGAAGCAATGGGGCTCAGAAGAGGGAGTCCAGGTGAAGGCTCAGCACAGGGGGCCTGCAGGGGCAGATGACCATTTTGCGGGGCCCGGGCAGCAGAATTCCGCAGGGCCCCCCCTTTGCCACAGCGCATGCACACTGACGCCATGCACATGCGCAGTGGCTTTTTAAAGAGCGGGGTCTGGGGCGGCCGCCCCGTTCGCCCTGCCCTATATCCGCCCCTGAGTGGGAGGATCTGACTGGAGGAGTTGAAGCTCAGCAAGGTGGAGATTCATTTGCAGTAGGATTGGTTGGGAGGTTCTGGGCATGCAGGGAGCCAGAAGCATGGGGACTAGGCAGACGGCAGAGCAGTTCCTCATATGGTGAGCCCTTACCCAGGAGCGGCCTGAGGCTGACTGCGGCAGGTGGCGCTCCAGGCAGAACATGCGATCGGCACCCCCGCCTGCACAGCTGTCAATGGCATGACGTCATCATCGGGCGCCCATTGAAGGCGACGCCCTAGGCGACCGCCAAGTCGGCCTATACTCACGGACCACCCCTGCCCTTACTCCATAGCTGAGGAACAACAGGGGTACTTACCCAGGAGCGGCCTGAGGCTGACTGCGGCAGCTGGCGCTCCAGGCAGAACATGCGATCGGCACCCCCGCCTGCACAGCTGTCAATGGCATGACGTCATCATCGGGCGCCCATTGAAGGCGACGCCCTAGGCGACCGCCAAGTCGGCCTATACTCACGGACCACCCCTGCCCTTACTCCATAGCTGAGGAACAACAGGGGTAGGAGGAAATGTTCAGTATTTCCTGCATCCAGGGGAGGTTTCTGGGGGTGGGTCTGACCTGGCCCAGGTTGCTCTTTTCAGGGTAAGAGCAAGTCCTGTGCCCCCAGCCCAGCCGAACCTGACACAGACTAGAAGCCACTGGTTGAGGCATCCCCAGCTGCCCCTTTGTGAAAGCTGTAAACAATAAATGGATTTTACAGCATGTCCTGGAGGTCAGTAAAATGGGGCTATTTTGGTCTGGAAAGAGCATTGGGATGTGAATAATCAGTTTTGCATTCACTTCTCTCTCCGTACAACATCTAACAACTTTTGGGCACCACTAATATAAAGAAATACAAAATAATAAAACCAGCTGGTTGTAAATTAAGACACATTAAATCAAGAGGCGCGCAGTACAGTTATAATATCACTCTAGTGTTTTTGGGCTAGACCCTAGTTGGAAAATTGAAAATGGGAATCAGTTAAAAGTTTTATTGGATTCATTTAGTCCAGAGAAGGAATTGGTCCCAGTTCTGCTGCCACTAGAAATTCTCCAATAGCCTGTAGTACCCCTTAATGCCCAGAAAGTCTCCTAAGGTGCTCACTTCTCATGGTCTGCAGGTGATTTGACAAGGGGCTGGGAGAGCAGTAGATCTGTAAACAGAGCAGGGATGGGCAATAATTTTGGAATTGGGGCCGCTTCACAAATTTCAGAAGTGGCCATGGGCCAACCTGGAAGGGACGGGACCTTAAGCGGAAGGGGCAGGGTTCAGAGCTACCCTGCCAGGAGCTTTGCTCGGCCTGGGGAGTGCTGGGGGCTAGCCTCCTCCCAGAGTTGTGTGTGATGCAAGGAACAGTACAGAAGGGAAGTGGGAATAATGGAGAATGGAGAGAGCCAGCAGACTGGGAAAGCAGCAGAGAACTAAGCATGGAGAGATGCAGAGTAGTGAACATTCTACTACAGGGTTCTCCTGTTGCTCCTCTTTGTTCCCACTTACCTCCTGACCATTTAGGACCAACCCCTTGAAGCATTAGGTTGCTTGTTGGGAGTTTTGTCTCCCTGGGAAATAATGTACTATTCTCATTTCTCATATGTAGAATGTTGTTGTTTACTGCTGTGCATGTGTATATTGTAGTGTAATACAAAGATGGCCAAGATGAGTGGTTCTGTGTATCCAACATGGTGTTTTTACAATATTGTAACAGTGAAAATTCCTGCAACTTAAACATGAACAGGAGCTGGTTAATCATTTGTTATCCAGTTGAGACAGTACTGTTTCCTTCTTCAAAGAAAAATAAAACTCAACCCAATAGTGGTTCTTTAGAAAAGGCTTTTCTTTCCTACTTTGAATCACATACTGTACTTACCAGCTGCTGTAAGCAGATTTTGAACATTTCTTTATGTAACAGTTTTGCCTACCCATTTTTAGATCACCAGCCTTTAAGTAGAATTTGGTGTGGCTCGAGGCCTCTCTCTCTATATATATATCCTATGCTGTATGAAGTAAGTTGTATCATCCCAAGGCAAGAGACAGTGTTCACCATTCAAAGGTCAGCATTTCACTGTAGTTTGCAAATACTGTAATTGCAAAAGCTGTAAAGAAATGATCTTTTATCAAATGATGGCCTCTGTAACATTGAATTGTCTCAAACACAAATTGATAATAGAGAAGTTAGTTGAAGCATGTTTAACATCATTACATTTCAGTTAATGTCCTCTCTGTTGAAAAGATATTGCTTTTTAGGGAGAAGGCAATTATCACTAATGTCCAGATTGTGACATTTCACTCATCTTAAATAATATCTTACAACAAACTAGTCCCACTGAAGTCAATGGGGCAATGGTAGACAGAAGTTTTACTCAGCATTAGGGAGGCCATCATAGTCTGGCTCATAATGTTGTCTCCTGCAGAATATTGAGATGTGCTGTATGAAACTAAATAATTGTATTTGGGACCTCACATTCTTTCGGATGTAGTTGGGACTAAACAATGTATTTGGGACATCAAGGGAGTGTTAAGTGGGCAGTGACCAGTCTATCAGCACAGGCGGTTTATAATGTGAAACAGAAAAAATCATAACGTCGTTACCCACGTGAACATCAAAGGCAAATTTCCTAAAGAGCAGCTTCCATTTTGTGGAGAGATACTCCTCAGAGCATTTGTACCTATAACTTTGCCATTCACATTTGAACTGAAAAATCTGGGTATCTGAGCCTTGAACTATCTCACTGCAGACACAAATCACCAAAGAAAACATGATGTTACTTTGATTTGTGCAACAGTAACCCACACTCCCTGTGGCTTAGTTCTCCCCCCGCCCCCCCATTGGTTGTAAACCACATAAAGATTCAGGAACTTGTGTCACATTTTAGATGAGGAGTGGCTAAGTGAAAGAGAGTTTTCTAATTGCTTTCCAATCATGTATTGTGTATATTACACTCTGGTCATTAATTTTATTACTCTTTAAAGTCCTATTTTGACTGTTAGCAATGAGGCTTGCTAAAAATGTAGAGCTTATAGATAATTGGATGTTCTCATGGGCTAAATATGATTTATGTTGCAAAGGTGTCATTAGTTTGGGGAGGAAACAAATTGCTGTGTGAGATATGGGCAAAAAATATCCTGTGTGGGATTACAGGGTTCAAGATGGCTTTTTAAAAAGCACATGTGGAGGGAAGAGGTGCCAGAAGGACCAACAACATTTCAGTGGGAAGATGTTGGCATGTAAATGTTAATGACTCCACAAGGCACCAGAAAGAAGAAAGATTTATCCAGGAATCCCAAACTGAGGATGAAGTTGCTGCAAGCTAGATTTCCAGAGAAGAGAAGCAGGAGGAGTTTAGTAAATAAAGATATGCAAGGCAGTATTGAAAAGTTTGAGCCTTTGGACAACTCAGTAAATAAATTACAATTTACAAGTCATTGTATTAAGGATAGTAAGTGCAGGGTAAAAATCCACTTGAGAGGTAGAGCTCTCATGGATACAAAACTTGTATCCACATCTATACCTGTATCCACAAAAGCGGATATCCATTTTGACATCCATGGATGTGGATATCTGCAAATTTGCAGGTTTCTAGATACAAAATTTGCCTCTGCAGCCATATCCACAAAAAATGAACCACAGATATCCTCATTGATATCCATGGATGCAGATACCCACAGAAATAAAGTGGATAGCTGCAGATTTGCAAGGCTCTGCCAAGAGGATCTTAAACAAATGAAGAAATTGCTGTTCCCCAACATCATACTCTGTAATGCTGTTATACCTAATATAATTTTTTAACTAGGGTAGGGTCAAAAGGTCAATTTTGTGGGTCAGGTTTTCCCAACTTGCCGATGGGAGGTATATGCCAAAGCTATTGATATGAAAGGGAGGTAATCTGAGTGTATAGATCAGTCAGCAACACAAAGCTGAAATGATTTGGATTCTTTCCTCTACATGAAGCCACCAAATGGACATGTTTGCTCCTTCAGCATAATCCATAATGTCTACAGTCTTGAAATTCCATAAGAATATTTTTCTGGATTAACTATGGAATCTCCATTACATTTGATAGTGATACTTCTTTCTGTAACAGAAATCCATGTATTATTGTTTATATTTTCATTATACCTAAATTAGTCGCTTACCCATTTCAAATTCTTTGGTAGCATCCAGTGCAATAATAATTATGAATTAGACATTGCTTTTAAGTGTTACAGACCTCTTTCATAATGATAATCAGTTTTCTCAACCATTTGCATTGTTCATACATCTATCACATTCAAAAGCTAGCTAGACCAGCTTCCTGGGACTTTCCAGGCACAACCACTGTATTATGTCTGTGGATTGTACCTCATTAGGTGCTAAGTAGTGTTTGACAACTCACTGGCACATAATCCAAGTCTTTGCTATTTATCAGGGGGGTTGAGTGGTTTGTGGTCAGTCAAAAGTTGAAACGAATCGATGGAAGAATTATTCTGTACATTTTTCACATGCCTCTATTACAGTGAGAGGCTCCTCAGTCTGAGCAGGATGATTCGTAGCACCAGACAGTGTCATGGAGCAGTTTGCAACTGTCTGACTCCCATGTCTATGCTTCAGCGCTTTGTTAACCTATGGCTACTTGGAATCCACAGTTACAACAGTTGGCTGATAAACCTAGGAGAAAGGAAGTACATCACAGTTTATAAGAGTTTCATTTTGCTGATTATTTTTTCTTGTATTGTGTTCTAACAGTGGGTGCTTCCACTTTCTAGGTGTTCATTCCAAGGATGTATTATGCTTTACGGTAATTTAGGATTATTTCATGAACTTATTTCCTCACTGAATCTGGTTTTATGCCTAGATTGCTTATACTATGTCCCAAGAAGCCTACCTATTTCTGACACAATGGCTATTTATGTTTATTGAGCTTTAGACCTAAAGACTTGGTTGTCTAGATTTACGAAAACAACCTTCTATTCTGTTTTATGGGAATATACCAGGAGATTGTCCCTATAAGCAACTGCTTCTTTCCAGGTGGTGGAGTAGTTCTATCATTTCCTTTGGAAGCCATTAGGTGCCGTAGCTATGCCAAAAGGAAGTCTGCGGAAATATTACCATCCAAAAGGCATATTGAAAATAATTAACCTGGCGCCATTTGGGTGTAAAGCAATCTGCCAGAAACCACTTTCGGAATCTAAAAGGGAAAATACTTGGGCATTCATCTTGGAAAGATGTCATCCAATGCGGGTAGGACATATTTCTCTACACACTGTTCTGTTCAGCAGATTCAGGTCAACATGTTTGCTGACTGTTCCATTTTTTAATGTCCATAAGCATTGGTACACCATTCAGTGGGTTCTGAAATCTCATTTGTAACACCACATCAAACCATTTGAGCTAACTCCTCTTTTACATAAGGAAGCACTAAATTGAAATTGCTGTCACTGTCTAGTTGCTATAAGCAATTACTCCATCATTTAGCTTAGGGAATCACCTCTGTAGTCCTATTTCCTCAAATTCTATGGGGTTCTATTTCTTCCAGCTAGTACCCAAGTGTCATTACCACAGCTGCATCCCAGCTTATCAAGTTACTACTTTTGGATCACGGGAAGTGTATGACCTACATTTCCTGTAACATTATAGTTTCACAGCTTTTAACTCACCCACAGATATATACATCCACCAATCACTCCAAGATGTCCCAAACATTCCCTATTCATTTTTCTCACACATAATGAACTCAAACTACAGAATATTGATCCTTCTTTATGCCTTATTACCTCAAAATGCCATACCTGTGTCTCCCACTATTTGGACTAGTGGATTTTTAAAATGGTGACCGGACGCGAATATGCTAATCAAGAGCGGGATATTTAAATCCCGTGCTTCATTAGCAACTTCGGTATGTTATATTTGCATCCCTAGTTCGGACTAGGGAGCAAGTGTAGACATACCCCTACTGACTTGCTATATGTCCTTGAGGGAATCACTTAAACATTTTTGGAAAGTACATCTGAAAAGGCTTGTATTAGAATTAAGTATGGCTATTATTTCATTCTGTGCCCTAGGTAGAAAGCCCTCCTGTTCAGGGGATTTACTGATTTTGAAACTTACAAGAGACTCTGTAACTTCATCCATAGTCTTCAAACCCTTAAAGTAAGGATCTGATTTCCTCTATAATAGCAATTCTTCACTCCAATCCTGTAATTTTCTATAGGAAAGAATGACACAAAAAAATCAATTGAACATTCATTTGACTTCATCCAAATGCATTGTCCCCCCACCATCCCTATTGTTAGTTTAAAGGAGTTGAGCAATATTCAATCTTTTATCTTCTAATATATTTAAGTATTTCTTCATTGTTTATCCCTGGGTTTTTTTAATGTTCTCATATAATAAGCAACAAAAATTATTCAGCCATAGAATTTACCAAACACAGGATTATGGGAAGGACATATGTGTACTCTTGATAGAAAACCCAATCAAAGCAGCTTTCTTCTTTTAGAAACATTACATATGAAGGATTTTAAAAAGAGACCAGTGATTTTGAACGCCTTTGCTTTTGGTTGCCCAAGCAGATGCACATAGGGTAGGTCAGGGCTGATCCGCACTTTGGCACTCCAAGTGCAGAAGGTGGGGGTCCACAAGAGACTTTAAAATATCTTGCCTCTACAGGCTCTGCTTACAAAAACTCCCCAGTGGGGGGGGGGGGGGGGGGGGGGCGGGGAGTAGCTGCCACCATCAAGTGATTTACCCTAAAGAACAGGGGGAACACTTGAATCCCTCCAAAGGTACCCCACGCTCTTTTGCCTCAAAAGATCTTGAAACAAAAAAGAAAAGAAAAACAAGCTGCAGTCTCTGGTAGCTGACTTCTCATTCCGGGCGGGCAGACACACAGAGACACTCCTGTTACTTTCCAGGACACAGGTGATTTTTATTACAAAACAGAAGACATGCTTGATAAAACATACTTGATTGCTAGGTGTTACAGAGCAACTAAGTAAAACAAATTAAAACACAGAGAAAATATCTGAGATCAAATCTTAGATGGAGAAAGGGGGGGCAGAGGAGGCATAGATTCACACAGAGCAGTTCAAACCAAACCACAAAAATAAAGAAAAATACTCTGATCGTGACTAGATACACTTTTTTCCCTTTATTTACTCATAATCCCTTCCTGGTTCAGTCTACTTACATGTCCTGAATTCCTTGGAGGCATGGTAGTCCTGCCTACGTTTAAATCATTCTGTGTTTCTCAACTCCTATCTTAACTCTCCCACACAAAGAAAACAGGCAAGGTCTCTTATACAATTCAAAGTTCAGCACTCTCTACTTGAATTTAACCCTTTAGTCTCTGGATGCTGGCCAGCACTCCTCCTATCCATCACATGCCCCCCAAATCACAGACAGTGTTGGACAGGCTGGCCCATACTGTTTGTGATTTCTTCCTAGAGATCTGGGATAAAACATAGTTAATAAAGAACATGAATGGGGTTGTACCATTTGACTGGAGAATTGCTCATATAGTTCCGATTTTTAAGAAAGGGAAAAAAAGCGACCTGGGTAACTATAGGCCTGTTATTTGACATCTGTAGTATGTAAGATCCTGGAAAAAATTTTGAAGGAGAAAGTAGTTAGAGACATTGAGGCTAATGGCAATTGGGACAAATTACAACATGGTTTTACAAAAGGTAGATAGTGCCAAACCAACCTGATCTCCTTTTTTGAGACAGTAACAGATTTTTTAGATAAAGGAAATGCAGTGGATCTAATCTACCACGACTTTAGTAAGGCATTTGATACAGTACCACATGGGGAATTATTGGTTAAATTGGAAAAGATAGGAATTAATATGAAAGATGAGAGGTGGATAAGCAACTGGTCAAAGGGGAGACTACAGTGGGTCATATTGAAAGGTGAACTGTCAGGTTGGAGGAAGGTTACTAGCGGAGTTCCTCAGGGATCAGTTTTGGGGCCAATTTTATTTAATCTTTTTATTGCTGATCTTGGCACCAAAAGTGGAAGTGTCCTAATAAAATTTGCAGATGACACAAAGTTGGGAGCTATTGCCAATTCAGAAAAGGATCGGGATATCATACAGGAAGATCTGGATGATCTTGTAAATTGGAGTGATAGCAATAGGATGAAATTTAATAGTGAGAAGTGTAAGGTTATGCATTTAGGGATTAATAATAAGAATTTTAGTTATAAGCTGGGGACACATCAGTTGGAAGTAACGGAGGAAGAGAAGGACCTCGGAGTCCTGGTTGATTATAGAATGACTAGGGGCCGCCATTGTGACATGGCCGTGAAAAAGGCTAATACGATCTTGGGATGTATTAGGCGAGGTATTTCCAGTAGGGATAAGGAAGTGTTAGTGCCATTATACAAGGCATTGGTGAGACCCCATTTGGAATACTGTGTGCAGTTCTGGTCTCCCATGTTTAAGAAGGACGAATTCAAACTGGAACAGGTACAAAGAAGGGCCACTAGGATGATCCGAGGAATGGAAAACCTGTCTTATGAAAGGAGACTCAAGGAGCTTGGCTTGTTTACTTTAACCAAAAGAAGGCTGAGGGGAGACATGATTGCACTTTTTAAATATATTAGAGGGATAAATACCAGGGAGGGAGAGGAATTATTTAAGATTAATACCAATGTGGACACAAGAACAAATGGATATAAGCTGGCTAGTAGGAAGTTTAGACTTGAGATTAGACGAAGGTTTCTAACCATTAGAGGAGTGAGGTTCTGGAACGGCCTTCCAAGGGAAGTAGTGGGGGCAAAAGATCTATCTGGTTTCAAGATTAAACTAGATGGGTTTATGAAGGGGATGGTTTGATGAGATAACATGATCTTGGTAACTAATTGACCATTCATTATCAGTGGGAAATAGGTCAATGGAGGGATGATAGGAGTTACTATAGAGAACTTTCTGGGTGTCTGGCTGATGAGTCTTGCCCACATGCTCAGGGTTTAGCTGATCGCCATATTTGGGGTCGGGAAGGAATTTTCCTCCAGGGTAGATTGGCAGAGGCCCTGGAGGTTTTTCGCCTTCCTCTGTAGCATGGGGTACAGATCACAGCTAGAGGATTCTCTGCATCTTGGGGTCTTCAAAGTATTTGAAGGCTTCAATATCTGAGATATAGGTGAGAGGATTATTCTGGGAGGGGTGGGTGAGATTCTGTGGCCTGCACTGTGCAGGGGGTCAGACTAGATGATCATAATGGTCTCTTCTGACCTTAAAGTCTATGAGTCTACATTTATTACTGAATACACAAAGAACCAAACATGATTCCCCACACTAGTCACTCTTGAAAATCTTGGCAAATCTCGTAAAAGTATGCAAAGGGTATTTAAAATGATTTTGAATCTCAGATCTGAAGTTTGCTCAAACCCTAAAATGCTTAAATCCTGATTTTGTTGTTCATATGGGTATGTTTACATTTCAGTGAGACATCTCCCATATAAGGGAAGCAGAATTTGTCTTCATGCTTGAATGTGTCTCCTCATCTGTGTCAAGTGAGCAGGATTTAGTCTCTGTGCACATATACAAGCATGCATGAAAGGGTAGCTTGCTAATACTGGGGAATTGTTTTGAACGTACAGACTAACATAGTGCTTGGTCCTGGATGTAAGAGGCTGAAAAGAGAAATTAAGGAGATTGCATCCAAATAGAGAATTGAATCATCACCCTCTTTCCTCATGTGTGGGATATATTTTCATTTTAATGGTTATGGATACATGCATCAAACTCCCTATACACAGAAATGGGAATATCTTGGAAAGAGTAATAAACGAGAAAAATGTTACCAGTCAACACTAGTGAGACAAAGCTCAAACATATGAATGTGTTTGAGAGCGGAGATTTTTGTTTTGTTTTAAAAAGTCTTCCTATGAGAGAGATGAGAAAGAAAAAAGTTCTAATCTTTTCTATGCCTGATACTCATGAGCCCATAATTTTTGATGGATCCTTGGATTCTGTACAGCACAAGTAACCCTGAGAGCAGTTTACTGTAAGTAATTTAGCATGAGTGCATACTTTTTATGCTTCATGCCGCTCCAAAAACATCATTTATTCCTAACTATATTCCTGTTCGGCACAAGATAAAATTGCTAGTGAACTGAACTGGAAACAAAATTAGTTTTAGGGGGTTTTTAATTAAAAAAGAAACTTTTTAGTAAAAGTACTTGTATTTGTATTCTACCACTTCCAGAAAGTAGACTCTTGTTTCTGGTTGGCACTAAGTGTAAGATAGACAGAGTATGCATCTGAAATATCATTTGAAATTGTATCAATCTCTCTGTTCCAGATTATCCCCTCTCATTGGAAAATCTGTGAGAAGGGACACTTTGCAAAGAAGAGAAATTTCTCATAGAGCCTCTCCTCATTCTCCCACCAGAAGGAGGAAAATCTGCCCCTAAGCCTCTGTCCTTTTCCCTCTCCAAGTCCTACCTTATTATCATAGCTCCATTTGGAGCTGTGTTACAAAGGTCTTCCCCAGGACTGCAGCATGGGATGTTGGGGTGAAAAAAATTAATGCAGCCAGAGCTGTATCTTTTATGTGAGCAGAAGTATGATATGCCTACTGAGAGCAGAAACTGATAGATGCGCATATGTGGGAGCAAGTGTGGTGAGGTAACTTCCAAATGTCCATCTGTTCAACCCCAAATCAAATTCTCTATCACCACACTGTCTCCCTGCAAATACTTATGAAAATGGGACAGAGCAAGATTCTCTTGTTAAATGTTGATAACCATTCAGCATTCATTCTAAATCACAGGTCAACAAAACATGATGTATTTGCTATAAAGGACCTCATGAGCATAAAATATAAAACATGTAGGCTTTGTCTACACTGCAAATTTTTGCAGCAGAAAATATGCTAATGAGGGACTCATTAGCATAAGTCACAATCTCATTAGAATATTATCTTACATTTCTTTTTGCGCAAGGGGTCTTTGCGCAAAAAGAAACAGTGTAGCCACTTCCATTTTGCACAAAACCCCCATTTTGCACAAGATTCTTATGCCTCTGCAGGCATAAGGGAGAGAAGAATAAGGATCTTGCGCAAAACGGCGTTTTTGTGCAAAACAGAAGAAGCTACACTGCTTTTTTTTGTGCAAAAAGAAATGGCAGACAATATGCTAATGAGATCATGACTTATGCTAATGAGTCCATCATTAGCATATTTTCTACCACAAAAACTTGCAATGTAGCCGTAGCTGTACAGTATTTTGCTATCTGGCCAACAATTAGTATTTAAGATTCAAATGAAGGTGCAGCTAAAACAAAGATCCCACTCTTCCTTTATAATCGTGATTTAAAACTGCTCTTTGATATGTGTCTAGGAATTTGTTATTTCACTGTTTATTAGTTAAATACTAATACTGTTGAAGTTTTGTATTCTGACACTTTTTTTGTGCGCATGGTCTAACTTGACTTCTTTTTTTACTGGTTATGTAAATACTCATAAATACAAAAATAAAGCTTTTAAGAAAGTAAAATACAAGACTGAATATTTACAAACATTTTAACATGAAAGAATTGAGAAACAATATTCTTACTAGGGTTTTTTTTTTTGTATTACGCCTTTGCTTTTTTGGCAGTAAGCTAACAATGTTCATTTGCAAGTCTACATATTTGCCAAAGAGGGACGTAGCAATTTTAGTAAATCTCATAAGTGATGCTAATAATTTCTGCAAATCAGTACCAATATTTTTGTACAAAATCTGTCATTTGTTTACAGTTTAATTTGTTAGTACATGGAGTATGGGTTTTTTTATGCAACAGTACAATCTTCTTACATTTTATGAACTGTGTAATTGTGTGTTTACATGTCCTGCAGCCTAAAAAACACAATAAACATAATGTTTAATTGTAACTCTTCTAAATATTAACACTATTAAAGTTAGAACAATAGCACATGTAGCAAAACAACGATAATGTGAAGATACAGGTTGAGAGGCAGTAACCAATATTGTTTAATCAGAGAGACATGTTTTGGGGCTCTTGTCCTTTCTATTAAAGAAAGTTCTATTGGGGAGGTCAATGCCAGGCCCTCTCTGCCGCTGGCTACAGGGCTCCACTCTAGCAGCTGCAGAAGGGCCAGCATTGACCGAGCAGGGACTGGGAGGGGGAGTGTTCAGGGGAAGAGGGAGGATGGCTGTTGAACACCAAGAAGGCACGGAGCCCTGCAGTAGCCGGGCTAAGCTCCTGCCTCTCCCC